TCTACAACCATTTTCAATTTTGTATGTAAATGTCTGCTGTATTTTTATGATGCGAAAACACATTAATGAAAATGGCTATAATTATAAACTGTTACAAAAGTTGTTCTATTTAAAACAAATAATAGCACAGGCTGTCTAGTTGATTAAAACAAAACTGGAAATTTTTTTATTTGAAATAAGGCATAATGATTATTTCAGTATCACACCAAAGGATACCAACACTTCCAGTATATAAGAATGCCATATATTATAAACAGCAAAGAAATAAGACGCCTAACAAAATATTCCTAAAGTCGTAAAATTAATCTGACTGTCTGAAGCAAAGCCGTCATCTTCAAGTGACCCCCTCCCTCCCTCAGTTCTTGAAGTATAAATACATACATGATGCAAATGTCTAACTTGAACAGGTTCCATTTCATATCAAGACAAAAAAATCCAAACCTCTGACTTGTTTAAATGCAAAAAGTGTTTCTATACAAATTCAAAATCAGAAATAATCCCTTGCACTTTTTATACTAATTGCTCGATTTTCAAACTATGATACTCGCTCGCTTTAAGAGTGATGGAAAGTTCACAGATTCTCAAAGTCTAACTCACAGATCCAGCTGGTGGAATCAGCTGGAAATGTCCACCACTAACGTAATTAAAACAAATGCAAATGTATGACTTGGGCTTACTAGAGGTATGGAAATGTCTCTACGCATTCATTATAGAGTGAGGTAAGTGTACGTATGGGGGAAAATATGGAGCACCAAGCTATGAAGAGGGGGAGTTTCAGTTTCCCAAACATCAGAATAAGCTGCGTGAGGCCTCAGGATAGATAATAAAAAAAGTCTCGCATCGAGGCACTAAATTAGAAACGGGTGCCGGAGCTCAGCACCAGAATAACGTGGTATCCTCTGTAGGTTTCTGCATTGAAGAATGGTCCCACTTCCACTTGGATGTTTAATGGGAGCAAAACATAAATGGTGATTACTAGCGACAAGACATCGACATGTTGAAATCTGCATGCCTATTGCAAACCACAAGATGCAACGATCGTTTTTAAAAGAACATTTAAGAAAATTGTTGAGCTTTTGGCTTCAGGACTCCTCAGCGTATCAGAAAATTACAATTCTGCTTTTTAGTCATGGTTGGTAACACGTGTACTGCACATATGTAGATCAGGGCTCTTTCCTAAAATCAAAGTTTTACGCCAAACTCCAGCCACAAAAACAGGAGGATGAGGACATGTTCTGCTACTCTGCCATAAAAACCATCAGCATGCTGGGAACTGAAGTAAGAAACACAGATATGCTTGAGACTTCATACCTGAACATAACGTCAAGAAAAAAACTACTTTAATTTAACGATTTTTATAAATTTCTCTTATAAAGCAGTTAGTGGCTATTTCTTTATTTGGTTACTCAACATTGCAGTTAGGCGACTGCACTTCCACTTAATATTCAGGAGATCCTGTGTTCAAATACTAGCCTGGCTTTCCTGACTGATGCCTGACATAGTTTTCCTCGTAGGATTTGAGGTTTTCACAACCCAGAAGACAGCAATCTTCATAGTTTTCCTCATTCCCTCCACAAAAATGTGGGGAATACTACCTAAAATCAGGCTATGATGGTTTCCTTCCACATCCTTCCCAATCATTAATCATCCTAACATTCAGTGATATACAGTCTGATCTACCAAAAGTGTCATTAAATAAATGACAGATAACTGTAATCAAATGATTTGTTTATGAAATTAGAATGTATTTACATTCTGCAGATCTTCAAGGCACTAAGCCACTAATTCAGAACTTAATCTTAAGTCAGATGTTTCAGCTTCTACACACCAATCTTATTTTATATGAATAGCATATTACACACAGCGAAGAAATTATGACAACAAAATGTTATCTTAGTAAACAGTTCCAACATTTAAGAATATTCAATTAAATCAAATGTTTCTACAGAGAAGAAGTGAGATAAGGGACAATCCTTTAAATTCTGATTTAAATATTACTGAATAGGTTGATTCCTGTGTAGTACACACACGCCTCTCTGAAATCTAGGTTAGGTTTGACATTTGGCATGTGGAGGAAACATTTAAGTCTGAGAGTTTTGGAACGTGAAACTTTTCCATGTTGTCCACAGCATTATTAAACCATAAATAAATTATAAGCTTCCAGCCCCACGTTCACTTAACCTAATATGAGGTCAAAAAAAAATACAGAACGAGTCTGTTGAGTCACTCTTAAATCTGTAGCCTCTCTTCCAAAGTCAGCAATTGCCGACCGTGTTAAGACTTTCAGAAATAAAGTAAGGGGTCCTGACGGACTTCATTTTGCATAACAATCTTCATGTTGAGCGGTTAAACAATCTGTTATTAATTTCTGCTACCACACTCCTGATACTCTGTTAATCCACATTCTCATTTCCATGGCGACAGGCAGTATCATAACATACGTTCCAATGTGCACAAGCTGGGTGACAGTGCGTATGTATTTTTGTCACTGTTGGCATGCATTTTACACGTACGTGCACATGAAGTGAGGTTGTGCACATACAAAGTTACACTCCAGGAAGATTCACCTGAAATAAACTCAGGCATTTTCAAAGCAAACTCTGCTTTGAAATTAATATCAAAATTTCAGCACGACTGAATATGTTACTGTATGTAAAACATGCAAATGTGTAAATACATCCTATCCAAAGCGCAAAGCTAGACCTGCAGGCTGCAAGCTTAAGTATGTATCTGCATACAACGTAACCACCATTATACGGTACTCACCGTGAACATCCAAGTGGAACCAAGTACCATTTACGACACCTGGCGACCTATTGAGGAACACCACTTTACACACGTACCACCCCTGGTCTGACTCACGGATGTTAGTCAGGTTGAGGGAAGCGAGACCATAGGGGGAGTCGAGCAACACTCTGGACACGCGCCCCTCGTACCCCTCACCGCTATGTGTGGGGTAACTGTCATACCAGATGTAGACCGGGATCTCCGAACCCTACAGAGATCATCACCGGGACAGACGCGAATAGCGCGGCCAGTCCCAGGACAAGACAAGTCAAATATATCACACAAAACACAACCAAAAATTCTGTCTTTAAGTGACCTCATCAACATGCCTCAATGTTCAGAACTAATGCAGGAGAAACTGTAGAAGTAGCAACAAGAGGACATTCCATGCCCCAACTAGTGTCCAGACACATCAGTGTTGAATGAACAAAGCAATGTAGTGATCTGGTTTCGTGGTGGGGGAAGGATAACTCACATTACTAGCATAAGCTTGTACCATAGCACCCTCTTGTGCTATCGTAAAATTATGATTCCACTGTACCATCGCCCAACACACGCCTCAAGCAGTGACTGCTGTGAAGTGCTGTAATACAATAAACACTGGTAAAGTTACATACTGAGTGACAGTATAGCAGAATCATAATCGACTAGTACTAGTCAACAAGTACTTCGCCTTTGTTCCTTGTAGCAAATCCAAGCAGCAGATTAAAAGTTAAAGTAGCCAGGTAGTACCAAAAACATAAAGTGGTCTTCCCCTATAAGTTCCATACCGCGGAATGGTACTCACTTCCACCTCAACTTCCTTCAATGGTGATTTGCTAGGGATGGAACTTAAATGCATACAAAACAAAGTATTCAAATAATCATGCATTTATATTCCAAATGCGGAAATTAATGTACACTTCAATACGCAAGAAAGTCCATGTATGTAAAATCATGCCTTACTAACACAGGTAATAATTACAACCACTTTCCATCCTACATGTATTAACGACAATCAAGAAGCAGCAATCAGCTTTGTAATGCCTGAAGAACGTCACAAAATTCATCCCCACTTTCAATATATTCCTCCCAACTATCCATTGTCCACACAAATAGATCCTGATACATCGCTTGTCACAAGTAGTTCTTTCACACAGAAACATTTATTATTAATTATTAATCTGGATTGCAAATCCTGACAATTTTATGCATGAATCTAACACATTCCAATGTGAATGCTTCTGACATTCTTAGGTCAAAATTCATGGACAAAACAAGATTCATCCAGTCTTATGACATCACAATAAACACGAGCCTCCATACATAATTTTTGTGTACTCATTTCAGCGCAGAAGTCGCCTGCCCCCACTTCGATGAACGGCCACTACACTAAAATGCAACAAATTCTGACCTCCTTCTACCACTTTGCCTCTGACCACCATTAGTTTTCTACCTTCTGTCTTCTAATTTGATACGCAGTATTCGTTCAACGGAATTGAAATCTACGTGTACTTACAAGTAATTCTCACTTTTTATCTACTCCTGACTCTCAATTAATACTGACAACCCAAAAATATTATGGCCTAGCAGTCAATAATATATGTTAGTATTTTTGAAACAGACGCGAATATACTAGTGTGTCTTTCTGACCACCCAGCCCCTTCTCACCCTCCAACACAATTAAAGGTGACTTCATTCTTCTACCACGCAACTTTCCCAGAGTCTGTTCTTCTGCTTCATATTTTGTGCATTTTCCCAATGCCTCACGTGCATTTGTTTAGACGACAAGTCTGAAGCGAAGGCCAAAGCAACGATTCCAGGACGACCAAAACGTCTGGTAAAATCCGTATCAAAAATTGACTTGACTGTAACTGAATCTTGGTTGAAGTTTACTTCAAATTTATGACAATTTTCTAAAATAACAAAAGTGTCCACATGCAACAATGAAGTCTGTTTAAAAAAGTCCACCAAAATACGCCCTACAAATGCTAGGATGAGAAGTACCCGCATCCCTAGTAATCACCATTAAGCAGTACTCACCATGAACATCCAAGTGGAACCAGGTACCATTCCTGGAGCCAGGGTTCCTATTGAGGAACACCACTTTACATTCGTACCACCCCTGGTCCGACTCGCGGATGTTGGTCAGGTTGAGGGAAGCAAGACCATAGGGGGAGTCAGGCGAAACTCTGGACACGCGCCCCTCGTACCCCTCGCCGCTATGTGTGGGGTAACTGTCATACCAGATGTAGATCGGGATCTCCAAACCCTACAGAGATCATCACCGGGATGGGCGCAATTTGCAGAACCAGTCCCAGGATGATACAAGTCAAATATATCACACAAAACACAAAGTTTACCACCTTCATATCTCAACAGTCACTGTGTTGATTTAAAATGTAAAGTCCTGGAAAGTACAAACAATATACTACAGAAAAATCAACCAACAACGTAAAAAGTTGCTGACAACATTCGAGTGAAATCTGTAATGGTCATTCTACAAGAAAAAGATACAAATTGCTTTTAAAATATCAAAATATTACAAATATTGCATATGACTCCAGAGAAAATAACATAAATGTTAAAAAAAAACCATTGCTAGAAATTTGTTACTTGATTATGCATTAATGTTGCAACAATTAAGAGAAATGTGTATATTTTAGAGAAATTCTACAAGCCCAGTGCTTACTATAAGCCACTAAATACGCTGTTGCACCTAGTTATACAAGCACTGTTCATAACAGAAGGCGTAATATTTATACTCGGTGATAAAGCGACCAACGAATATGGACAGCAAAGATATTCTACGTGGAGAGGTTAAACAGCGGAATGATCTGAAGGTAATAAAAATGATTGATTTTGTTTTCCAGCACATGGAACCAATTTGAAGTTCTCAGAGCACTGGAAACGATGATGATGATGATGTTTTGCTGGATTGTGATGCCATAAAAGTATCCAACGATAATTTTTTTACATTATTCATTTCAATGGTGGCTGTACAATGATACCAACCATCCATGTATGAAGTATTTTAACTTTTACTCTCCGTTTTGCACAGGCAACATACAAAATGTAAAACTCAATCGGTACGCGTTTAATTTCTTAACATATTTTTACTAATTACATGTTTAAATAGTAGAAATCATTAATATTAATTGTAGGTGCGTATTATGAGATGTGCAATAGTGCACAGGCAACTATGTGTATCAAATTCTGCAGACCTGGATTTGTAACCTAACCACATTCAATTTGTTTAACATGAAGGGAATGGGGACTCCATCTCGTGATATGGGATAAGAAACTGCACCGAGATAAACGCCCAGGGTCCGGATGGTGGAGGGGGTGAGATATATATATATAAAAGACAAAAAATTAATAAAAATGTTTTGCGCAGACATGTAGACAAATTCAATCATTTGCATACTAATGAGAATTAATATGCAATAAAAAAAATAACATGAAAAATCTAATGTAATTTGTCCAAATATGTCATCACACAACCGTTTTTGTGGAAGAGGTTAACATAAGCTGAATGTACTGCAAATGAATTCAGTCTTAAAATATTATCGATTTTAAAAAAAATCCTCATTTAAAAAAGAAGATCCAAGTTTAAGGCGTTGATGCCCTAACGTATAACTTTGTTACATTAAATTGAAAATAATCACAACTACAACCACTGTCAGCAATGATAAAATATAACCATAAATATCTGTCAATAATGAATATGTTCTCTGCTAATCACATAAATTCTCTTTGACAATTAACTTGATACTGAAATTCTTCATCACGAAGGAACTTAAAAAATAATAAACTTTTACTGAAATCATTGCTTTATGAAATTTAAAACAAAATGGCTGTCACATGAAAAATATACAGCTTTAATATTTAAAACAAGCAGAAATGAAGTATTTCATTATGTCAGCAAATATACAACTGTGACAAAAATGTTTACATAAAACATTTTCTTTCAGTTAAAAATTACACGCACGCAGATGGAGCAATACTTCGAGACCAAGTCTGAGGAATTCGGATGGACACCGTATGCAGAAAAACAATGAAGCTGCAAAATAACAGTTTATAATTCCTCCTATACTCTCTACAGCAGGGGTTGGCAACCTTTCAATTACAGCAGGTCACATTTTTTATTTACATCTCCGTCTAGGGCCACAAAAATTAATAAAGTTATGGAAGTTAAGTGAAACTCTATTTCTTTAACTCGCAGACAATGGTAATATTTTCCACAAGTAACTTCATAATAATCTCTCAATTGGCCTTAAAGTGCTACTTTTTAGAAGAAGAAATAAATTTTGGTTAATTCGGTGATGAACCTTCGGGTTCCGTCAGCCATCTAGTTGGTTAGTTAGTTATCTACCACAGATGTGATGTCCCGCTTTCGCTACTGCTGTTGTCCGGAGATAGTGATTAGCTCTATCGAATGGGCCCAACAGAGTAGGTTTTACCTGAAGACGGAGATAGACTCCCGTCTCCGAAACGTCGAGCAATTTTATGATTTTATTAGACGGTGGAAAATATCCAGAAAACTTGTCATTTTAAAAAATAAATTGTATTATATTCTGAAGGTGATATAACTGTTACTCTGCACAGCCCCTCTATCCTATTGAATTTGTTTGCTTTTGAAATCCATATACTTTTTCACACTTTAATTTAAAAATTAACGTGTATGACCTAAGACCTTAGCCAAATTAATATTAGCCTGGTTATAAAATTTCTGTTCGTTTGATACCAACAGCGATGAGCACTTTTTTCTTTTACAATTGTCCTTACGCTTAGACAAAAAACATATATGTATGAATATTCTACTCAGTAGCAGAAAGCTGACACCCTTCTCATACTAGCAAATTCCAAAATTATGTCACAGACTGCATAAAAATGTTGCAAGGTCCATGGGTTGCCAACAGCTGCTCTACAGAGATGAAAGAATTAAATTATTTTCATGCCTTCTTGTATTGTTATGAAACAGATAAATTCTAACCTTAAAACAGAATATCAAAAGTGATAGTAATATAATATTAGGACCTAAAATTCTGTATGAGAGAAAATTTTAGCCTAGTAATATAAAGTTTCTTACTTCAATTGTTCAAAAACAACCTTTTGTCCAGAGAAAAATGCAAAATCTTCTAATTTTGTTCTAATAAATGCTAAGATTGTTAATATACTCTTCAAGAGATAATATATCATGTAACGAACTGTACAGAATTGCTATTCTTTTTCTGAAACCTTTTAATTTTGGCCCAAAATTGTTAGCATTTACAAATATGTAAAGTAACTTAATATCCTGACTTTAATTCACCGTGGGCCCCGTTACGATGGGTTCATTTAGCGAACGACATGCTGACAAAAAAAACTTCAGCTTCACAAAAAGTATACAGTACCAAGTGTGCAACATGTTGACGTGTGGTGACACATATTTATACAAATTACAAGAAGCTTCAGTGACAAAAGCAAAGTGGGAGTTCCAACTTTGTCATGTGGTGAAACACGAAAACAAATTTGTCTCGTGTGAAGTACGTTCTGCTTTGTGCAATGTTAATTATATACACAACAGAAAAATGTGTTTTGTTTCCCATTCGTAAGTATCTCCCGTCAGAGCACGGCAGCCAGAACATACTTTTTACAGGTAACAAAAATTGCAGAGTTGTAAAATTACTTGGGGAAATAACATGGATATTTAATTCATAATGTCACATGTACTTTGCCATACGTTATGATTATTTTCCAAAATGTACCACTAACTCATCACTAGTAATTTATACCTATTAATCAGTATCTAACTTGGTGATATCTGAGGCTCTCATGGAGATAAGTATGAAGATGGCAGTTTTCTGGGACATTTCAGAAGAACATACTGACTCCACCATCAAGGTAATGATGCGGGTAGTGAGCTCTCCTGATACAATAGTCAGCATCTACTAGACTACAGGGTGCAACATCCCAAAAGACAGCCTTCTTCAGAATCTAAACTCCTCAAAAATTTCCTTAATTTGGTACAAGGATGTGTGTCTGAAACAGGAACACACATTCACGTAAGCCCAATCCTCCGTAAGAACGCCCAAAGATGATTATATTGCACATTTGCATCAACTGCTTATATGTGGTTTTTGTTCAAAATGTGGAGAAATTCTTGAATTGAGATAGGATAATTCAGTATACCTTGCAAAAAAGCAATTAGAAATTAGCACAGCACAAAATTCAATTCTAAATTAAATATCTATCCTGTTCCCCCAGACGATATATTTCCATTTGTATGCAGTACATGCTCACTATCATGTCAACATATGACCTTAACAAAGTAGCAAATACCACATAAGCAGGTCACCATGCAATTGCAAGATGTCGTATGTGTTTCTGACTGGTGGATGAGGTACGTCCTCAGTTGGGGCACAGATCAGAAGTTTTAGCTCATTCCAAAATATCTGTGACATACCTTCATTAATAAACTTAATACACTTCTTTACGTTTATCTTTAAAATTTTACAAAAATTTAAATTCAAATGAGTTCTGTTGTTTTATAAATGATGATTGAACGAAATAATTATGCACGTCGTATATAACTCCTATACGGAGGGTTTTATTTTGGGGGATAGCTTCGGGGAAGATTTCGGTGTGCAAGTATATAAATCAGACCTTATCGCACTCAGATTTCCTCAGTGAACACCGTAGCCAAGACAATTTCATTTACGAAGGCACGCAATCCGTATCAACTTTTGAACCACATGGAGTACCGCATGTACAGATGGAATTAACTTGCAGCATATCAAATTTCATTTGCTTGGGGAGCATAAATATTTATGCAGAGGAAGACAAACACAAACACATGACGTAATATCCATTATGCATGCAATAAAAAATTAAAATAAAACACATGTTATTTCAATACAACTTTCTTCAGGGACAAATATCTGATGGTACAGTCATGTGTTGAAAGTGATGTAACCATAAACCTCTCCTTCTGTACTTCAAGTACAACTGGACGTATTTCAATGTCGATATAATCAATTTTTCAAGAAAATGTACCAATAACAATCAGCCAGAGAGTCTTATACTAAATGTCGTTAACAGTTTAAAAAAATAAACTGACACAGGAAATGTGATCATTTTCATTTAACACCACTGTACCTTACTAAAACGTTCTATACCTTATGTACACATGCACAGCTAGCAACTGAATAGCACGGAGGCGTAAGGGCATGAATTATTAACACCCAAATTAATCAAACTGTCTAAGAATAATTATTAGAAGGGAGCAAAGAACACTGTTGTTAACAGGAACAAAAGATCTCTGATGGCAGGTTTAACTTATGTCTATTACGACATTAGCGTACACGCTACGTGTAAAGGGATTGCTAAATCGTACTTCAGTAATTTCGTTCCCTGTGCTCCCGTCTGAAACAAACACTTGCTTACCCTAAAAATAAATTTAAAACATTATTCCATGCACTGCATTACATACCTATAAATTAAACTCACTTGCTATGCACATTTTTTAAAAAAAAACAACACACAAGTGAATATTCATTGCGTAAAAACTGTTTCAGTGCTCAGCGACGGAAACAGTGAAGTCACCGCTTCAGTAAAGAACCAGATTATCAGACATGCAGATAGTCCAGCAAATAAAAAATAAGCCACCATAACATGCAGAATAAATAAATAAATAAATACAGTTTAAGCAAATACACTTTGATAAGGTATCAAGCCAAAGCACCCCTACAGCCACAGAGATAGAGAGAGACAGAGATATGAGATGGGGCAGTGGTGAGGGCGGAAGGGGCGACTCGTAATGAGCAGGATACATCCAGTATCGAGATATACAGAATATCCACATCATGAAGACATGAAGAGAGAACAGCGCGAGACAGAACACAGCCGAGTAGAACTATTGAGGGAATATGTCTAGCATCGTAAGTTCAGTAACTGTTCCGTCGGTATGTGTCCGAGGTATCTGCAATAGGTAAATTTGCTTTCGCCATATATGTGTACATAAGGAGCAGAGGTAAATGATGACACGTTTAGAACGACACAGAGCCGGGTGGACATCTTCATGCCCCGGATGATTTACCCCCCCCAAAGGAAAGAGCCCTCTGTAGTCATTGGATAGGAAACCCAGTGGACCCCAGAGCCAGTCTGGATGCAGTGGTCCTTGCCAAAAATTCTCTCACTTTTATTAAAACCTAAGCTTTGTCTTCTGTCCACCATCTGCAGTGTGTACGGAACACCTGCCGCAAAAGAAAATAAGTTTCTGTCATAGAAAACGATTCTGATGTCAAAAAACATTTCAAGATGCTATTAAAAGTTCTCATCTTAAAGACACTACTTCGATACTCTCTCACTAATCACAAAAAATTTATGAACAGAGATAGATTTTCCCTTTATTTTTTGGTTATTTATTTAAAATATTTTTTTAAAAATTTCCTTAGTGACTACATGAACTAAATTACATACATAGGCTGCAACATGGCCAAATATTTCTCAGCACACATTTGAGGTTAACAGCAAAAGGACAATCACAAACATTACGATTTACAAGTTTTTAGTTTTTATTTATAATCTCCTTCCGATTGAAATGAGAATGCAGTTGTTCATGAAATACTGGTTTATACAGGCCTATAGAATACTATCATTTTAAATAGTAATAACAATAATCATAATTAACAATTTAAACGAATAATTCTTGTAACACTAAGTGTACGTGTCACAGTCCCAACTGCTAAGATCGAGGAGCGAGTTCAGGAACAACGTTTGCTACAGAGACGCATGTAAGGTGGAGGTTAACAGATGTGAGAACGAGATCGAAGTTTGTTTTAACAACTTATTACCACCGTAAAAATTCAAAAGTTCAGTTTGTACCCCCAAGAAAACAAACCTCATCTCTGACAATGTTGTTGTTCTGGGTCGTCATGCCATGCACACTTACAGGTAGATACCAACATTTTTGTCTCCATCATCAGCCCTGGAGATGGAGACAGAATGTCTCCTCAAAACACAATTTAAAAATCTCCTCTGTCAGTATAACCAAGGGCTCTCCAACTGGCCTTTATAGAACACAGACACGTTTTTGAGAGCGGACGAAGTGAATATTTTGATTTACGGCAATTAACATTTTTTAAATGCACATTAACGCTGAGACGAAGACATCCGTGGGGCAAAGCGTACATTAGATATGAAAATTATGAGAAAAGCCTGGTGTTCCATTGCCTATGAATTAAGGCATCAACAGTATAATCAGAAAATATGCATTTGCTTCAGAAGCACAATGAAGGTAGAAACACAACTAATTCTCGGAAGACATTACCGGAGTCAAGATGCAGGAAATAGTTTTTATTTCATGAGTTATTTACGTACAAAATATGGTCGAGAATATGAGAGACAGAAAGCACAGTTGTGTAAGATTTCACAGTAAAGGCTTGTTGACAGCTGTTGCCATGACGACAAGCCCCTATTTATTTGGTTACTGAGCAAACATGGAGAAACTTGATTTTGGCTGACGTCAAACATTACTCCTTTATACGTATGCGTTACTAGGTATTTTATTGCTAGACACCACAACATACAAATTGTAAATGAAGAGATAGAAAAGGCCAACGATCCTTTCATGAGAATGATTCTGGGCTGGTTTACACGCAAACAAACAAAAAATTTCTTTTGCATGTGTTGTTCATATAATTGCTATCAATTTAAATGAGGCAATGTCCCCAAAAATAAAAGAAAAATGTAATGCCTCAGCATTTATTCCTAAAAACGTCAGGATCAATTGTCTGACTTCAGCTGACATAAGATTCACGTGGCCCAAGAACATCACTTAACATTTATTTTCTCAAAAATGGGTCAACATACAGAATTTGGCACTTCAAATTAATTTGAACGCGGTATCTCAGTTGCAACAAAACTTTTATTGTAATTATTTGATAAATTAGCCTACATGATGCAGGGTCCCTCTTGTGAAGCTAATAGTTGCTTAGCTAGACAAGAAATTCCTCGTTGAGACCGATTAATCCAGACCGCATCCTCACGCCCAATTTCTTTATAGCATAAGTTTAACTCGTAGGATTTGTAAGTGGTTCGTAAGTGCCAAGATGTGAAAGGAGAGGTTTCTTTTCACTGATGTTGGAACATCCTGAAGAAAAACAGGATAATGGATTGGTTTCGAGGCGACCTATCTCGCTTATAACGTGGAACGTGTATCTCCTATGACGAAATGTAGCAATCCTTTGCTTTAAAAATTAAAATCAAAGAGTCATATTGCATCAAAATGTTTCGCTGTGCGCTTCAAGCACCCTCCTTCCTCGCTACTCTCTCTTCACAACAAAATGTGGTATCCTGCGACCTACAGGATATGGATGTGATACTATACAGACAATTGAGTGTTGTTAGTATTTACAGGCAAAAAAATTATAAAGAAGAACAGTGCTTATAAGGTCAATTGAACATTATATTTACAAGTACTGGCTGTTGTTTTATGTGAAGTCAAGTTAACAGCACACTGACCTCGCTAGAAAAATGATGAAAGCGAAAACCTAAGCAGAAGAACCACATCTGAGCAAAAAAGGCACAAGGAACAGGATGTGTTCTGTTCCTTGTGAGCAAAAATTCAAGTTACAAGGAAAAATCGTCCTTGACGTGTCCCTAGGTTTAAAAAAAAACTATAATAATTATTGCAAAAACATACAAATTAAGTGTTCCACTACAAACAAATGAAAATTAAGTGACGGGTCGGTCGGCATGGTACACCTCTGTTCTCTCTCTTTAGACTTGTCATGAAGGTCCTTCTGTCCCATGTGGCAAAAAGAGGCCATTAATGTTACAAAAAAAATGTAGTTTTCAATAAAAAAAATTAAAATATAAGGAAGGCATCTGACATTGAAGTTCTGTTACTTTGCCACACTAGACCGCAGTACTGGCGAGCCCACAGCCTGGTCTCCCACACAAACAGAGTCCTTTCGAGTTTTGGAATCAAGGGCACACAGTTCACTGCTCGAACCAGCTCTCAGTGACGGCTGAGCCGCTGTGAGGAATTCCGTCAGCTCCACAGACAGAGATTTTCATATGCATAATTTTTCAGAGAACTGAATTTCAGAATTACAGCGCGTTTATGTTTAAGTGGTTCTCAACTCACATTCTTTACGCTCCCAGTGCGCTGTGTTCTTATTCTCCCTCAGTGCATATACAAAATTTCCAGGGGAAATGCAGCGACCTGAAACCAGTCAGCGCGGCTCTTTGAAAAAGGCGTTCACATCCTTCCATTACGTGCAATATGTTGTTAAATTACTACGAGAAACACCATTAAAATACTTAAAATGATATTCTGTCGAGTATAAAAGTAGACAACTAATTAAATTTCTAAAATGAGTAATTCATTCAATGTGGGGTTTGAGGTTTTCACAGCGGTGAGTCTGATGATTGCAGTCTTCTGGGTCACTGTGCCACGTAGTCTGGTAGATTTCCACAGACGTTTCAAAGGTCATACAGCCTCCATCATCAGGAAGATGAATCTACCAGATTACACAGAGCAATAACCCAGAAGACTGCAATTTTTTTAATCCATTCAATTTAAAATCTGGATAAAATGCAATCGCACGAAGAAAGTACAGATATAATGTATTCAGTGTTCTGGAACATTTAATCTCATAATATTCATAACATTACAGCCTATATTTATAATGTCCACAGCTCTGCATCTTAACTATGTTACTGCAAGAATAACTTCCACAAAATTAAGAAAACTTCTGGAAGTTAGGGCCCTCTTGCTTTCGTATGTGGCATCTCACATTCAAATCTCAAAATGGAGGTCCAAAATCTTAAAAGAGAATTATCATGGTTTCCCTCAGTCACTTTTGGCAAATTTCATTACACAATTCATCACTCGCAATCATCAGGACTTTCAACGTCATACAAATGAGAGACCGTCTACAAAAACCAATGAAAATTTGACATTTTGACACGATCTCCACGATAAAGGAGAACTAGTGATTACCTGAATTTTGCTGTGTGTCTACTTTAAGTGGTAGTAGACTGTTCTTTTTCATTCGAACAAACGCAGCTCTCAAATATAAAGGCCTACTAAGTATCAGTTTACAAAAATGACTCTGATTTGGATTTCCGCAGCTGTCATGTACTACAACTTAAGATTTAAAATTTGGCGCTGCAGGGGAGCGTAGAACCTCTAAGCTGCTCACTTAACCCCAGAAACAACATCGCTTAATTCTTTTCCTTTCTTTTCTACAGCAAGTGTCATTCTGATCAAGACATCAGAAAACAGAAACCTTTCAACTTTCAGTGGATCGCTCAATTTCACTTTTACTGAAACTGATGGGTTTTTTTTTTTTTTACTGAGGGCACTCAAGAAACCATGAAAAATCTTACACAGAAGTGAAGTGCCTTGTGAGGGGCGTGAACGTCATATGATGAACTACGTCTCCATGAAACATGCAACATCTTTAAACGAGCACGACGCACTTAAAGGTCGCTGCTTATTGATTCACTAGTAGAAGAACTGAGCTCTTTTGTGGTAACTAATCCAGCTCACATCCCAGTAACAAGCGTGTCAGAGGTCAAGGGAACTCACATGACCTCATAATGAATGCCCAAAACCCATCTTTTCTCCTCCATATTGTGATTCTGTTGGTTTCGGAGTTCCTCACAGAAAAGGAGTTTCTTGGAAATCGATAAATACGCATTGAGAATGGGCGCATTTTTTTTAAATGCCCTGATCACATGGGGAGAAGGGAGTTTCTTAATAAACAGTGAAATAATGCGGGCTGCATAACCAGTGGCAATGCAAGGAAATGAGTAAGGGCGGGATATTATTAAATAAGGTGTGACGATATGCACTGGATATTGGAGAAGAAACGAGCTCTCGAGTATTTGTGGTGCTCAGTCAAGCATCACCAGACACGAGGGCTTCCTTCTTCATCAACTTCAATTCCTTATTAGACAGTCGTGAGAGATGAAACAAACAACAAATAAATATTTTAACATCTGGCGGCGAGGAGATCATCAGTGGGGTTGAGTCTTTCGTGGATTCCGTCACTTCCTCTAGGACTTGTTTCGTGAGGAAGCCGGCTGTGGGGGAACGGCGAAGAGACGTCAGAATTTTGCTACGATTTTGCGATGTTCTGATAACCAAACCATTGACGTACGAACGAGAGGAGTAGAACAGAGTTTGTCGCCTACCGTTTCGCCTACCTTCTTCTCCCACTGCAGCACGTAGGGCACCGGGTGGTCACCGGGGAACTCCACATGGCAGTTGAACACAACTGACTCGCCCAAGATGGCGGTGATGTGGACCGCATCTTGATGGCAAAGCCCTGCAAACACACAGACGTCGTGACAGCAACTTGTAACATTCTGCCTGCTACGAACGAGATATCTCGACCGGTCTTCATCCTGGTAGCACATGAATCCAGTCCACAAGGTGAGTTCGTTTATCACCCTCACATCTACACTTAGTTCTTCCAATTGACTGACATTCACGTGATCAGACGGGGACACACTGCACATCAAACTCTTGAATAATAAACAACTAACATAATATGCAAAATAATAATAAGATCAAAGGAACACCCACAACAGTAATCTACAATCTACAATCAATGAAAAGCTTGCATTAATAAATATAGAGTAGTTTTAAAGATAAAAAAACCTGAAGATGATGCTATGACATTGAAATATGTAGTAGTATAAAGCGCAATACTGTAACATCGAGATAACGATGAATGGCGCAGAATATTAATATTAATTTTAAATTTTAACATCAACAATTTAAAAGTTTGTGTATAGACTTGAATAATAAATATATATTTGAATTTTAAACACAAACATGACGCATCTAAACTATAAACAGTTGATCTTTGTAACGGTGAGGCGTTGTGTTTTCTTCGCGGTACGGACTGAATTCTTAAATGTTACTCAGACGAGCTTCGGGCTTCAATGTGTCAAATGAGAAGGGAAAAAACATCGCGTGTGTGTAGACGAACGGCGTCTTTCAAAAACGTAAAAGTATCGAGTGTAATATTCAAGAAACTCTTCAATGTCTACATGTAAAATGTCCGATATTTCAAACACTGGCACAAAAGAACACGTCTGAAGGTCGAAACCGGGGTTGAACATGGATTGTGGGAGGGAGACTTTCGAAATGAGGCGCCGAAGTACGCGCTCTTTACGTCGCGAGATGGAGCGTCGGACACAGAGACACTTCCAGCTCGGCCATAAAACGTTCCATGCTAAAAGAGGAGGTCACACTTACCCTTCAGTGAACTGTCACGAGTTCGATGCTGCTGATTTGGGACGTGACGCCTTGCAGACTCGTAAGTGGAGAACATACCGTTTCCATCTTCAGTATATTTCTCCTACAGACACGAGCCTGGCGGAGCGCCTATGTGGCATAGTGCTCGGTCTTCACCTTAACTTGTCTGTGGAGGGAGATTTACTACTTGTGGGGCACGTACCTGGGATGGCAAGCAGGAGCAGACACACATGAGAGAAGGCAAGCCTGAGGAAGACGGTCAATGCCTGGCGACACCATCTGACCACTCGGTCCGCGCGCATGCCCATCCCTCTGTTTCCATAGTAACTGTTAGAGCGCCGTTGACACCGTCACCTGGAACAGCAATGCACAATCAGCAATGCATCCAACACCGACAGGGGTCACTCTGCCCCCCCCACACACGCCAACACGTCGCTCAAGACGAACCGATCTCTTTGTTGTCATGTACCAACTGCTAACGTCTTGAAGGAACGTACCGTCTCAATTTTCGAGGCAAAAGGGGCAGCTATGCTGAAGATGGAGACGATACGCTCCTCCAAAGTGACTTATATCCTTTGGCTACAGAAGGTGTGTTAATCCGAAACGTCGTTAACGAAGCGCACATGACCACAAACAAGATCACACGGCGTCACATTTAAGACGACCACAAATGAATTTATTACAGCCATGAGAACCTAACCTAACCTAACCTAAACTAACCTAACCTAACCTAACCTAACCTAACCTAACCTAACCTAACCTAACCTAACCTAACCTAACCTAACCTAACCTAACCTAACCTAACCTAACCTAACCTAACCTAACCTAACCTAACCTAACCTAACCTAACCTAACCTAACCTAACCTAACCTAACCTAACCTAACCTAACCTAACCTAACCTAACCTAACCTAACCTAACCTAACCTAACCTAACCTAACCTAACCTAACCTAACCTAACGTAACCTAAACTAATCAAACACAATCTCACTGTTTAAGATTCATTCATTTCTTGTTGCATCAGTAAGGCATTATATCTCCATCACCTACACCAAGATGTTTTAGTTGTTACAGCGTCGTTAAACGCTTCCTTCAAGGCAATTGTAAGAAAAGTGTTGAATTTCCTGCCAAAAGTCAGTATTGAATGAAAAGGCCTGCACTTTCTTTGAAACACAAGCAAAGTCTGTGGTCACTGACACAGATGATTTCAATTTGAAAACATCGCGAGATAAGGAGTTCGATTTCCGGCGAAAATGTTCAGACACAGCGGAGCAGAGCACAAGGGGAGTTTTAACGTCCTCACATTACGTGGGTTAACTGCTTACACCTCGTTCACTCCCGGGGTCCAGCGACCACCTGAGGCTCCTCGCCTTCTCAAGAAGTGACAGGGCGAAACACTAACGACGCGCTTGAAAAACGTTGTTAAATAAAGCAGGAAATATCACCGCAAAATGCGATACGAAATTCAGAAGGCCACTTCAAAACACGACGATAATTATCGCCTTTACACATTCACGAACCAGAGGATGATTACGGGACGAATATCACGTCATATACGATTCTTTCTGTAAATGTTACAACCTAATAAAGCGAATATCTCACACATCTGAAACAATTAAACACTAACGAATGGGCGTTCTTTCCAATAAATTTCAAAAAGTCAGCTGATTCCTTGCGTTTAGATTGTTTTAATCAAGTGCGTACAAACGACTCAATTCGATCCCCGGCCAGGGCATTATTCTCCCTGGATCTGGTGACGTCATACCTCTCATTCGATTTACACCGGGAATTACCGACCGCAGATTGAGGCGAAGAATGAGTGGAGCCTTACTCCCATCCGTCCTACGTCTTACTGTGCGGTGCTCATGAGTAATGAACAACACACAGAGAACATATCCTTTGCACCCGTGTATATCCGGTCTCAGCATTCAGAAGATCAATTTCTCACTTGACGCAACGAACCTGCGCGTTCCATAAAGAACGCGTAATTTACCGATCAGATGAACTACCACCAGCTTCTCAAGAATTACTTCTTCGCACCGCCAATAAACAGGTTTCTATCATTTCAGTGGGCCATGTGTCGTTGTTGCGCTTTGTAGCTCTCCGGTCGCCATAGCAACTGCACCAAAGCATCGAAATCCCATAAGAAAAATATTCACTGCTATTTCAATGACAAAAGATCGCTCCACTAAGCAGAGTCGCTTCGCTTTGCGGGGGGGGCTCCCCTGCTCAGGACAGCGCAGCAAGAAATCTTTACAGAATCAAAGGTCTTGGCACCAGCGGGAGCGACCCTTTCACTGTCGTCACCGAGAATACTCGGTAACAGGCATGGCAGCATGGCTACCACGAGATGTTCTTTTCTCAGACAGCGCTGCAGGGTACCCAGCGGCTTGAGAACGTACGAGTAAAGGAAGGTATCACTTCAAGCTAAATGAGTACCCATTCGAGATTCGAACAGGGTAGCCTGGATAAGAACGGAATGTCTTATTCTGTTATGTTCGAACACCACTGTTTTCTTTTTACATTTGTGCATAGTAGCTCAGTCAATATAGTGACTGGCTACGTATTGGACGACCGGGGTTCGATCCCCGACGGGAACCGAGAATTTTTCCTCTAGCCTCTGGGACCCACCCAGCCTCCTGTCCAATGGGTACCGGGGTCCTTTCCCGGGGGTAAAGCCGGCCGGGACGTGTTGCTGACCACTAACCCCATCTAGTGCCGAGGTTAAGAATGAGTAGGAGCTATACTTCATCTCCCCCTAAGCGCCTACATGGCGTACAGTGGGACAGAAAAAACCGACCCCAAGTGTTGAGCCAACTTTCCCCTCACTGGTAAATAGATCGTCGGTATTTCCAAGTGCGCTGGACCTTAAGAAACAGATTTCTTACCACCACGAGTGAAATCGCATTGAAGGTGGGATATTCAGCTACTCGGTCCACTGAAATTAATGTCAGAACCCCGCGAATTCCAATTTGTGTCTGTAAGCGGATTTACTGACACCTATTGGTAATTGGTATTTACATTTCTCCGGATTACTGCGCTCTTCTCGTGCGTTACGACGCCGTGTATGCTAGTAGATATAAGCCAACGTTTCGGATAAAAATACTGCCTCCATCTTCAGGGCTGAACCAGGTTAAAAAGGAACACAAATGAAGATAAATTTTGAAATCATCGCTTCTTACGAAATTCAGTGCCCTGAGGATTCGGGACTGTAATAATCGCCGAATTGTAGAAAGTACAGTCAACTTCTACGGGTACAATCGCAAACACCCTCCCCCCCCCCAAAAAAAAAGCGGATTTTTAAAATTACAAACATGCAGGCGTGTTCAAATCCGCGAAGTTCCTTTGTTAATCGGACGCTGTCGACACCTGAATAGCGAGACGTAACAGAGTGTGTGGCTCGTGGGACACTCGGTATAACAGGCGCCGGCAGTGTGTGTCCGTCTGTCCAAACAATCAACAGCTGGTAGCTCTCCAAATATTGAACCGCCTGTCTCCAGGCGAGCAATCAATCGGACGGACTTGGGTCCACCGAAGGCACGAGCAAAGTGGCGAGTCGCAGATTAGGACAGTCCGAGCTCCGACAAAGCAGGGGTAAGGTTAGGTTCGTGTCCATGGACACACGCGACACAGACTCTGCTTTTACAACGAATTTGTTATCTTACGTCGCTCATTGGCTGATACACATTTACGTTCCACAGACGATCGTTGCTTCCTATCACCTAGAAATTAGAAACACGAAAATTACAAAAATTATCCCTCGCTTCGAAAAAAATTTGCAAATATTACGAAACTTGTAGGAGTGGAAGTTACGACTGAACGGAAACCAAATATAAGAATTTTTCCGAAGACTTTAACAGCTCACTAACACGGATAAAGGACCCTAAACGGGACCTAATCTAATTAATACTAAAAAAAAATCCCCTTCCTACACAAGAGAAACCACATTTCTTCACTTTTACAAATTAAGATTTTTAATAAATGTTTTGCTGTTAAATCCGAGGATCAAATTTAAAAATAAGACACGATATGAACCGCGCGTCGACTTACTGAACGTTAAAATGTGCGGTACCTATAATTACCACTACCCTTTTTTATTTTTTTATTTGTACTGTTCTGTCTGACGACAGGTCCATATGAACAGGATCCTTCCATCCTTTTATCGGACTGGGACCTGTTCATATACGTTCTTGGCAGATGATCCAGAAGTGGTTTGCCATTGCCTTCTTCTGTGTGTGAATGGACTAATTGTTGGGATGCCACGGAGGAAAACTCCGTGTTGCCTAGACCACGGCCTTGCCCAACACAAGTTATAAATTCGAACCCGAGACCCCAGGATTACAAGGCCAGCGTTCTAACCGCTAGACCACCGTGGCACGGTACCACTACCCTATAAAAGGATAAAGCAATGACGTTGCGATATTGAGTCTCCAAAAAGCTCTCCTGCCTGACGCAATATCCAGGAAGTCCGGACGCGAATTCTGCCCGGAAATTAAAGATGGCGATGACAGGTCTCAGACAGCTGAAGGCGAACTCTGACAGAGGTCAAATAAGCGTGAGGTATGAGGATTACTTTTACCGTTTAATTCTTCTGAGACTTTCAATGTGGGGGGTGAAAAGCGAGTTGCATGCTGGGAACACTGGTGCTCGAAAGATCACGTCGGTTCGATTCGGTAAAATCGATAAACAAAATGGCGACACGCATTTTTAAATTATACTATTTCATCAAAACAAACAACAGACTAACAGACATGTTTATTTAAATTCAATTCAATTTTAAATGCAAATCCTCTGCTTGAAATTTTTTGTCTTCACGGTTTCAAATTTTATCGCGAAATTAATGGTTCACTCACACGTACGAGATCTTCAACTTATATCAATAACAACGGCAACCTCAGTTGCAAGAACTCACTAGTTCACCTACTGGCCGCCATATTCTTAAAATGGGCTTGAAAAGTTTATGGCCCTCTCGATACATGTTCCTTACTCCTTACGGTACAGTGGTAATCATATGTACCACTTTCAATACTCATTTTACCCACAACGAGGACTTATGTGTTACGTATGATTCTCATAATAAACAGCGTTAACCAATTGATCTTTGTAATGGTGAGGCGTTGTGTTTTCTTCGCGGTACGGACTGAATTCTTAAATGCTATTTAGACGAGCTTCGGCTTCGAAGGGTTAATTAATTATCAGAATAAACATCGATTATTTCCTTAAACAGCGTTAACCAGTTGATCTTTGTAATGGTGAGGCGTTGTGTTTTCTTCGCGGTACGGACTGAATTCTTAAATGCTATTTAGACGAGCTTCGGCTTCGAAGGGTTAATTAATTATCAGAATAAACATCGAT